GCTTAGAGTGGGTCAAGTCCAACCTTTTCATTTGAAAAAGCAAACTTAGGGAAAGAATTCCACCCTGCCAGGCAAACTGACTTACCCAAAGTGGCACCCAAGGTGAGTTAGCATCTTGCTTCCGCCATCTTTCATGACAGCCATGTTGGTTTGGTTTCTCTCTTTCCTCCCCTGGAAAGGGCACTTAACCGGGGGCCAGAAGACTTGGATTCAAGTATTGGCTCTGACACTGCCTACCCCTGCCATCTGCACCAAATGATTTTCTTTCTCTGGTCCTTAGTTTCCCATCTGTAGGATGGGAGGTTAGACTAGATCAAGAATTCTTAACTTCTTTGTTTGTCTTGTCTTGTGCCCCTTTGGCCTTCTGGTGAAGGTTACCCACCCTTTTCATAATTATGTTTTTAAACGAATAAACTCAACTACATGGGCTTATAAAGTAAACTAGTTATGTTGAAATAAAGAGTAACCCCCCCTCCCAATAGCTAACATTTACATGGAGCTTTTAGGTTTGCCAAGTGTTTTATGAATATTATTTTATCCTTACAACAACCCTGAGAGATGGTGTTTTTTGTTGTTTTAGTCGTTTCAGTCACGTTTGACTCTTTGTGACCCCATTTGGAGTTTTCTTGGCAGAGATACTGTAGTGGTTCGCGATTTCCTTCTCCAGCTCATTTTATAGATGAGGAAACTGAGGCAAACAGGGTTAAGTGACTTGCTCATGGTCACACAGCTAGTAAGTGTCTGAGGCCAGATTTTAACTCAGCGAGATGAAGCTCCCTGACTCCAGGTTTGGCATTCTATCTGCTATGCCACCAACCCTGAGAGATAGGTACTATAATGATTCTTATTTTACAAATGAAGAAACTGAATCAGACAGAGGTTAAGGGACTTGCCCAGGGTCACACAGCCAGTAAGTGTCTGAGGCTGGGTTTGAATTCAGGTCTTCCTGACTCCAGGTCCAACACTCAGTGGACTGTACCACCTAGTTACCAAGTTCAGAGACCACTCCCCCTAAACAGAACCAAACAAACCCAGTAACATATCTATGGATCTTGGGTAAAGAACTATTGGATTGGATTGTCTTTAAGACCTCTTCTGCACCTGAGACTATAGCCCAGGTCTGGAGCACTCTCCCTCCTATCTCTGCCTCCCAGCTCCCCTGGCTTCCTTGGAGTCCCAGCTCGAATCCCACTTTCTAGGAGAAGCCTTTCCCAGGCCCTCTGTGGATTGTCTCCTATCTAGCCAGTCTTTATCTTGTTTGTCCATTAGCTGTTTGCATTCTGTCTCCCCCCCTCAGAGTGGGAGCCCCTTGAGCTCAGCGATTACCTTTTTTTGTCTTGCCAGTGCTTGGTACAATGTCTGGTACATAGTAGGCACTTTAAAAATGTTTGTTAGTGAATTGACTGTAACTCTAAGATTTCTGGGGCCTCTCTTGAGTGCCAACGTTTGCTGGTTCTATGGCCGGTCTTGACTAACTAATCTTCATCAGAATCATAATATCTCCTTGTGATCTATTCAGAGAGGAGGGAGCTGGGAAGCTGGCTCAAATCCGTCTACCTATTCCACCCCACTCCTCTCTGTTCCTTAACCTCCTGGTGAGATTTTATAGGTTGGGTCAAATTTAGACAGCAACAAATCTTTTTTTTTTTTTTAACAGCTTCTGGCCAAGCTAAGTGTATCAACGGCCAAGCCTGGCGGTTCTTTGCCCTACCCTACTCTCCTGCTCATGCCAAGCCTTCAAACCCCTGAGCAGGCTGCCTCCCCTTATCGGACTGGCCGGCTGCCAGCTTGGAATAACCATGTATTCATGTCTGGGCCACTGGCGCTCCCCTTGCATCCCAGGGATATCTTTTAAGTAAACATGAGCCAGGTCACAGGCAGAGGAAGGAGAAGGGGAGTGGAGGAAAAACCTTGACATTTCAGTTGGCTGGGCCAGTTAGTGGACACCTGGTATAAACCTTATCTTCTGTGTTTATGAAGGGCTGCACCCCCTCCCCCACCTTCTTCCTTTGGCTGACCAACTGGGTCTGTAAATAGAATTCAAAAGGCATATGATGATGGCTGGAACTTTCTAGGGCATTTACCATTTTTTTCCCTTTCCCACCAGGCCAAGGATCACATGATTTAGGGCTGGAAGAGAGTTTATTATATAGAATATTAGGCTACAGAAAGTTAGGATTGGAAGAGCCTTAGATTATTGGAATGATGGAATGTGAAAGAAAGGCTGTTAGCACTGGAAGGGTACTTAGAATAGTAAATACTGGAGTGAATGGCATAGGACGTTAAGATATATGGTATGTGATGCTAAGGCTGAAAATAGCCTTGGGATAGCGAATGTTAGATGTAGCCTGGGAGGACAGAGATTATTGGATGCTAGAACCTATATCATCTAGTCCAAGGTTCCTAACCTCAGGATCTATGGATTGATTTCAGGGGAGTTCAGGAATTTGAAAGGGAAAAAGTCACATCTTTATTTTCACTAACCTTTTAACTAAAATTGGGCATTTTCTTCAATGGGTGAAGGCAAGTAACAATTCTGAGAAGGGCCTCTGTAGACTTCAACAGACTGCCAAAGGGGTCCATGACCCAAGAAAACGTAGGAACCCTTGGTTTAGGCTAATTCCTTCATTTTAACAGATGAAGAAACTGAAGCCTACTAGAAAGCTGAAGTGACTTGTCTGTGGGGACATAGGTCATAGGGAGCAGATGTGGGATTTGAACTCAGGTCTTCTAACTGGACTGAATCCACCAGACTGTTAGGAACAACAACTCTTTTCCTGTAAGTTACTTGGCTAGCTTCTTCCACTTTATCAAGATTTTATTTTATTCTTTAAAAAAAATATTGTTTTTTCCTCCCATATTTCTCTTCAGTCTTAGTAGCAGTTTCAGGGTGGAGAGGACAGGGCTCTCCTCTCTGCTCTTCCATCTGCAAGAATGGAAAAATGGTTGCCACGTGATTCACCTATAATAAGAAATCTAGATTCCAGAGCCCAGCTTTGAGCCAATGAATCCTTTTTCTCTAAAAGTTTCGAAGGATAAGAATAAAACACATTTCTCTAGGGTTTCAAATCTTAAACCATTTTCCTTTCAATAGCTTTGTGGGAGAGGTAGTGAAAGAACCGGGTGGGTGTGCCCATTTTACAGATGGAGAGCCTGAGGCTGAGTGAGGCTAAAGGCTTTCCCAGATGTTCATTAAAAACAAACAAACTGACAAAGATAGGATGCACACCGCTCTGTAAGGGACCTTGGATATCACTTACCTGGTCCAATCTTCGCTCTTCAGAAGACAAGGCAGATGGGGAAGGCTTAAGTGATTTGGAGTGGGTCTCACAGGAAACGTGAGGCAGAGCCGATACTCAAACCAATGTGCTGTTGCCCTCCTGACTCGGACCTAGGTCTCTCCCCCGACGACAAGAACAAGAGTGTAACACACACCTCTAGCTTGAGTAGGTCACAAAATGAGTATTTTAGATTTGATTTTATTTAAACACTAGGAAACACAATTATTGCTAGACGATTTCATCTTTATTAATTGGCCAATTTGCTTTAAAACGCATCTGATCACTGTTATTATCTTCATGGAAACAGTAATTTGGGTTTACGCTAGCCTGCTATTAGCGCCCCTACGTAAGACACAAGGACGATGCTTTAAAAACAACATGATTTATAAAGCAGGGGCTTTCATTTTAAGTCCATTGTGGGGATTGTTTATTGCTGTCTCCCCGCCCCCCCGATGGCCCCGCCCCCCCGCTGGAGGCTTCCAAGCAGAGACTGGATGATGGATTGGAGATACGGGGGAGGGGCTTTGGGTTCAGGACTAGGCTGGGCTGGGCGACCTCTGAAGTTCCTTCCAGTTGTGAATTCCTCAGGCAATGGGATTGGGGGGCATTCCCCAATGTTCCAAAGGGCATCAATCAATTAGCCATCAGCACGTTGCAATGGAAAAGCAGTGGGCTGAGGATCCGGGAGCCGTGGGTTCTAGGCCTTTGTCCAGCGTGATTTCCTGGTGTGCCCCTGGAGAAGTCCTGTGCCCTCTCTGAGCTCCGTTCCCTCCTTGGTTAAATAAGGGGGTTGGACTCCCAAGTGTGCCAAGGCCCCTTCTGGCTTGGAGACGCTATAATTCATCTTTCACTCCGCAGTAAGCGATGCCCTGGCAGAGTCTGTCATAGCTCTGGAGTCACACGCACTCAGCCGCCAAGGGCAGAGTTTGGCCTTTCAGGAGCCGGGCACTTGGGCAGATAAGGAGTGTTTCTTTAAGAAAGTATGGCTTCACACCGGCTGCAAAACGCCGGGATCTCCAGTTCCCAGAGGAAGTCCAGGGGGCCAAAATTCTTCCGCCCACTAAGGAAAGGGGAGGTGTTGCCAAGTCCTGTTGACACATCGGGATGCAGCCAGTGGGTTCTGCCGGCTCCCCTCACCCTCCCCCTCCCTGGTGCTCTGGAAGGCCCCCCTCCTAATGATGATAGCATTGGGAGAGGAAGCACAGTACTGGAATGAGTTCTGCCTTGGGAACGAGGGACCCTGGGTAAAAATTCTGCCTGAATCGTTTGACCTTGGACAAGTCACAACCTCTCTGGGCCTCAGTTCCCGCTTCTGTAAAATTAGAGGTTCAGCTTAGGGCCTCTTAGGTCCTCTCCTGTGCCATCTTTATGTCCCTCGAGTTCTATGGGGTCACAAAGTACTGTAACATCCACTATCTCACCCGGGCCTCACAGCAGCTCTGTGGGGCAGGAATAGATATCTCCAGTTCATCACTTAGACTTGGAAGAGATATCAGAGGCCATAAAGGCTACCTATCCATTTTACAGATGAAGAAACCCAGGCCAACATGGCTAAGTCACCCACCTAATGAATGTCACACAGCTCAGTAAACGCTTGAGGTGGGATTCTTAAGAAATTGAGGCTTAAAGAGGCAAAGGTGGGGTCTAGGGATAGAAGGACCTTTAGAGATCATGGGACCTTAGATTAATTGTAAGATGTCCTCCTTTTTTTTTTAATAGGTGACAAAGAGATGCCATAGTTTCCCTAGTATCACACAGCTATTAGCTAGGAGAACTGGTATTTGAACCCAGGCCTTCTGACTCCAAGTTCCAGACTCTTTTCTCTATAGATTCCATCATTTACAAGGTGAGTGGTTGCATGTGAAGACTCTAACATCTGGGACCCCTATCCCTAACCTGCAGGTCCTAGCTTGGCTCTTTGGGTGCTTGGGATTTTTGGCCAGTAGAGTTTTATTTCTTTGCCTGAAGCCCTGTCATCTGCCAGAGATCTCTTTCTCTCTCTCTCCTCTCTCTCTCTCTCTCTCTCTCTCTCTCTCTCTCTCTCTGTCTCTCTCTCTCTCTCTCTCTCTCTCTCTCTCTCTCTGTCTCTCTCTCTCTCTCTCTCTCTGTCTCTGTCTCTGTCTCTCTCTCTCTGTCTCTGTCTCGTCTCCCTCTCTCTCTCTCTCTCTCTCTCTCTCTCTCTCCTCTCTCTCTCTCTCTCCCCCTTCTTTCTCTCTCCCCCTCTCCTCTCTCTTTCTCCTCTCTCTCTCCCCCCTCTCCTCTCTCTCTCTCCTCTCTCTCTCTCTCTCTCTCTCTCTCTCTCTCTCTCTCTCTCTCTGTCTCTCTCTCTCCCTCTCTGTCTCTGTCTCTGTCTCTCTCTCTCTGTCTCTGTCTCTGTCTCCCTCTCTCTCTCTCTCTCTCTCTCTCTCTCTCTCTCTCTCTCTCCCCCCCTTCTTTCTCTCTCCCCCTCTCCTCTCTCTTTCTCCTCTCTCTCCCCCCCCTCCTCTCTCTCTCCTCTCTCTCTCTCTCTCTCCTCTCTCTCTTCTCTCTCTCTCTCTCTCTCTCTCTCTCTCCCCCTTCTTTCTCTCCCCCTCTCCTCTCTCTTTCTCTTTCTCTCTCTTCTCCTCTCTCTCTCCCCCTCCCCTCTCCTCTCTCTTCTCCTCTCTCTCTCTCTCTCTCTCTCTCTCTCTCTCTCTCTCTCTCTCTCTCTCCCCCTTCTTCTCTCTCCCCCCTCTCCTCTCTCTTTCTCTTCTCTCTCTCTTTCTCCTCTCTCTCTCTCTCTCTCTCTCTCTCTCTCCTCTCTCTCTCTCTCTCTCTCTCTCTCTCTCTCTCTCTCTCTCTCTCTCTCTCTCCCCCTCCTGGAAAGGCCATTGGACTGACCTGTTACCAGTCCATCATACCTAGTTTATCAAATCACTTTTGGTGCCTGGGTCACAGTAAACAATAAATGCTTGTTGAATGACTCACAGACTTAAAGATGGGAAGAACCTTAGAAGATACTCTAGTAAGTAAATCTAGTCCAAGTAATATTATTATTTTTTTTAAGCTGATGAGGACTCCAAAGCCCAGAAAAGTTAAATGATTTGCCCCATTGAAGTGGGAGAGCTGAGATCTGAACTCATATCCTTGACTTGAAATCCATTTCCACTATACCAGGCTTCCTCTAAGAGCTATAATTAGAATTTGTGTTTAGCACTCCCTGTGCACATATCTTAGTCTATTCTTATAGCAGGTCTGCATGAAAAGCAAATATGACTTATCCCTATCTTATAGATGGAAAAACTGAGCCCCGGAGAAGAGAAGTGATTGCACTAAGGTCACACAGTTTAACAAAGACGGTAGCTGAGATTTGAGGTCATTTCCTTCATGATACCAAATTCGGTACTCGTATCGTATACCCCACTGACTTTGGTAGAAGGAGCAACCCAGTCAAGGCAAGCTGCCATGTTAGTAGATGGAGGACTGGATTTCTTTCTTGTTGTCTTCCCTTTCCCCAGTCTGTCCTCCCCCTCTTCTTTCCTGGTCTCTCCAATTTCCGCTCTAGTCATCCTCAGTTAAAAATAACCTTTTATAACCGTCTCCTCCCAACAACCCAGGCCTTTCCATCAATAAGAGCTGTACATTACCTGAATGCCCAGTGAGATGAAGCAGTCAGATAAAATGTGAAAATTGCTTTGCAAAGCCTCAACACCATCTACACTTGAATTATTATTATTTAGAAAGAGTGTTGCATATGGTAGATCATTGGCCCCTGAAGTCTCTCCTAATCTTGAGATTGGGGGATATGATGATCCTGGGACCTGGAATACAGCCCTACTTGGGCTATTAGCTGCCTGGGTAAACCTGAGGAAACCTTGTTGGGTTCAGTTTTCCCTAAGTCCCCTAGCCTTTCAATAGCCTAGGTAACTCTCAAAAAGGGTGAGTTAGTTACACAGAGCAGGTGCCAACTTGTACCGAGGAGGGAGCTCCTGACACCCATGAAATCACAGGTCCAGACAAACAGACAAGTCAAGATAAAATGGCAGTAACCAAACCCATCATGTCTTACAGGGCTTTAGGAGGCTCAGACTGAAATCAGTGCTACAAATACTCCCTAAGTGTTTGCTAAGTGCACACACTAACAGCCTCCCAGTGTCTAAGATCCCTACCTGCTATAACAGTCTGTGTCCCCCCAGTGACACTTACTAGCTGTGTGACCCTGGGCAAGTCACTTAACCCTGATTGCCTCACCAAAAAGCAATCTATACATATATGTATATATAAACAGGCATTCTATGTTCTAATATCCCTTCCAGTTGTAACATTCTCTTTTCCAAAATCCTTTCTGTCTCAGACATACTATATTTTTTTTCTTTAAATTTGAAGTATTACTTGGAAATGTTTATTTGCATTTTAAGATACATAAAAATAAATTGATTTTCCATTTAGAAACCAAATCACTATTTCTGGGTAGGACTTTAAACCCCTCCCCCCCAATTACATGGTAAAACATTTTAAAACTTTTTTTTAAGTTTTGAGTTACAAATTCTATCCCTTCCCTCCCTCCTCCTTGACGTGGTAAGCAAACCAATATAGGTTTTACATGTGCAATCATGTAAAACATTTCCATAGTAGTCACTTTGTACAAGAAGACTTGAAAAGAAAGAAAGAAAGAGAAAAATAGTATGCTTCAGTCTGTATTCAAACAATATCAGTTCTTTCTCTGGAGGTAGAAAGTATGCTTCATTATTCATTTTTTGGGATTGTCTTGGATCATTGTATTGCTGAGAATAGCTACATCATTCACAGTTCTTCACTGAGCAATATTTTGTTACTGTGTACAATGTTATCTTGGTTCTGCTCACTTTACTTTGCATCAGTTCATGTAATTCTTTCCAGGTTTCTTTTTCTTTTTTTTGAAAGCATTCTGCTCGTCATTTCTTATAGCACAATATCATTCCATCACAATGAGGTACCACAACTTGTTCAGCGATTCCCCGATTGATGGGCATCCCCTCAGTTTCCAATTCTTGGCCACCACAAAAAGAGCTGCCATAAACATTTTTGTACAAATAGGTCCCCTCCCCCCCTTTTTGAGGACGTACTACATTCTGAGGTCAATGCCCAGCTCTGATATTCTATGGTCCAGGCTCCCTTCCAGCCATGAGTTCCTTTTCAGCCCCACCGTTCTGTGTTCTGAGCTCTGACAATCTGCTCTAAGGTTCTCTCCCGTTCTAATATTCACTGCTCTAAACTCGCTTCCAGCTCTGACACTCGGGTCCCTTTTAATCTCAGCAGTCTAAGCTCCAAGGTCTCTTCCTGCTCTAACAGCCTCTGATTCTGTCACCAGTCAAGGCACACTGTGGCTGGGGACTTTGCCTCTGATTTCCAGACACTTTGCTGATAAGCCCCAGACGCAGGGACCCTCCCTTGCTGCTGAGCCCTAGCTGGCTACCTGGCCCTGGGGCAGAGTCCTGGGTGGGAGGCGGGCAGAGGGCCGGCTCGGCAGGGTCAGCCAGTGAGGAGGGCGGGGACCGGCCAACCGCCCCGTCTCTTTCGCCCCATATATGGCAAGCGCTGTATCCACTTCCTGCTCCATTGTTCCTCCAGGCTGGAGTCGAACTGGTTTCAGAGTCTGCTGCAGCCTGGAGCAGGACAAACACGGGCAGAAAGGAGTGCTCTGGAAGCTGTCCCAACAGATAGCAGGCAACTCCCTGGTGTGTGCCGCCCACTCAGTCACCCACCCACGCTGGGAAAGAGGCCGGCCCCGAAAATCCCATCCTCTCTCCCCCACAGCAGGATGGAGGTGTGGGCGGGGCAGGGCAGAGCCCCGCGGGGGCCAGCTCCCCACCATTCCCAGATTATTTGCTTATTGGGGAAAATGGTCTTATGAACGGGCTGACCCAGCCCGGGGTACGGGCCTCTGTGGTATCAGAAACAAAATATACGGTGAACTGGGGGACGGAGTTCCCCCACAACCAACAATAACAACGACCTACTGAACTGCTATTACATTAACCTGAGTGTGGCCCTGCTTCCTCCGGCAGGTGAAGGGTCCAGTTCTTAGGTTGTGGCACAGCAGAGTAGAACCTGAGGGACATGAGGGGTTCAGGGATGCCCCCAGGGGAATTTAGGGGTCTAAGGATATCTCTAGGGAGCATGGGAATCAGGGCTATCCTATGGGGTGTTGTGGGGGGACCAAGGCTATCTTTTATGGGGTTGAGAGGTCCAGCTGTGTCCATAGGGGTTGTGAGGAGTTGAGGGCTACTCTTAGGGTAAGACAGGCTAAAGGCTACCAGCCAGGGAATGTGAGGGACCAAGGGATAGCTATAGGGAGTATGTATGGGGGGGGCGAGGGGGATAGGGGAGAGGAAGGGGAATGGGGAGAGGGAGAGGAAGAGAGAGAGAGAAGGAGAGAATGTTAAGACCTTCTAATCATGCCAGTGTCGAGTCTAGTATACAACAAGTTCTTAATAAATGCCTGTTATTTGACTGCTGGTTGGTTATTTATTCTGGTCCTGCCAGCACTACTTTAGGGATTGCCTTGCCCCAAAGCCTCCATTTACTGCTACTCTGACTACTGTGTGACCTTGGGGATGTCACTTTTCCTCTATACCTCAAAATAAAAGGAATGAAATCAGTGATCGCTAGGACCCATTACCCCTCCAAACTGTTATTGTCTATGATCCTGACTCTGTCACTTACTAGCTGAGTGATCTTAGACAAGTCACTTTGTGTCTTTGGGTTTCTGTTTCCTCATAATAACATTTCCCATTTAATAATCCTTAAAGGTTTGCAGATTGCTTACTCTTCACTAGCACATCTGATCCCCATAAGAATCTTAAACACACTACAGACTTTTAAATCTAGATTAGTTTCTTTCTTGGG